AAAAGAGCCTCAGAATCAGCAAAGCAAAACTTATAGTAAATTAAGAGAGACAGTATGGCAGATTGAATATATAAAAATAAAGTTACAAGGATATGAATAATACAGTAAGAGAGTTTAGTGGAACATGTGTCAAATCCTAGATTCTGGTAGCAGAGCATACTTTTTCAAAAATGTCCATGGGACATTTATATAAACTAATGCAGAATAGATAGAAAAAAGGACAAACTCTTACTACCTAGAAATGTCAAACGTCTGTTTTAGCTTTTGGGTCAAAAAGAGTCAAGTTTACAGACTACATATCAGAATCTGATGTGTACTGAACTCAGGAGAAAACACGTACCTTTAATACTGGTGACCAGATCATAAAAAGTGCAGATGAATGGGCATCCTGCAGTTCAGATCAGTTCTGGCCCTGTCTACACACCTGGAGGTGGGATCAGACCCACAGACTGCCCCCCCGCCCCCAACTTAAGACCCCAGCGGCCAGTGCAGGTGGTCACCTGTGCTTCCGACAGACTGGCTATGGGTTGGAGGTTCCCACGACCATCTCCTTGGCTCTGTTACTTTGCTGGAGCGGCTGGGAGAACTCAGGAGCACGTCACTCACTAGGCCCCAGGTGTGTTTAAGGACACACCTCAGGAGCAGCCCGATGGGGGAGATGTATGTGCCTGGGCCTTCTGGAGTTTATGGAGGCTTTGTGACACAGGCCCGTTTAGGTTTGGATCGGGCCTGTTGACCAGGAGCGTGCCTGGTGGCAGTGTCCACAGTAGAGCGACCCGGAAACGGCTTGCTCCCTGTCAGTAGCGCTGCCTCGGTCACATGTTTAGGACACGCCCCTGGTGCCTACCGGCTCGCGAGTGATCTGGAGGGGATACGTTACACGCACTGAGGATTTACTACGTCGGGTCTGAAACAGTGGTCTCTCTAGTGCGTGCACCCCTTCCAGTTTATCTGCTGGCGCTCTTCTTGGAAAGAGCCCTCTGTTCTCCCCTCTGCCCTCGCCTTATTTACATTTGGAAGACCTGTTTTTAGAGCCGGCAGCTTCGTGGATTCTTTTTAATTCAAGGTGTTATCCCTTATGGTCATTACTTACTCCTTGTCCCCAATTCGGCTGCCTCTTTGACAGAGTCCTGTCGTTTTTGTTGTTCAGCGTTCTCTTTCTGGCATTAACTAGACTCAGGCTCACCTGGTACATTCCCTGCCCCATCCCTGGAATCAGCCATTTTCCCCTTGGTTCCTTTTAGTGGGGAAAGGTGTTTAGGAACCACGGACAGGGTGCCTGGTGTGCTTGGGGTACTGGAGTGGCTCTCTCCTACCACTGAACCCCGTAGTTAATCCGATTATTGAAGGATTACCCAGTGTGTTTAGACAGAAGAAAAAGGAAGGAGAAAAGTTATCGCTCGATGCTCTCCTTGCTGAGGGGGGACCAGAGGGGCCCTGGGTCAGTGCTGCGTCCACCAGGCTGGTGGCTCCGTGCTGCTTGTTTTATTATTGCTTCTAAGGTGCATGTAAATGTTTTCTTGCATTATTTTGCTTGTGTGCTTTACTTCACAATAAAAAATTTAAGTTAAACGCATAGAAAATGTGCAGATTTTTTTTTCCCCTCTGGGCAGCAGCGTTAGTGTTTATACTTTGTTTTGCACGTTTGAGGTGCACTTCAAGCGCCTTGACCTTTTTATACTCGTTTACTGTTAACAGTGTAAATCCTGTACCTGTTTCTCTTGGGTGAACTTCTGCCTACTTCGTTTAGCCCATAAAAGCACGTGTCCCTTTTTCAGGAAGGTTGTGCGGGAGCAGCCTGCCTTGTGCCGGGGCCGCAGCGCTTCCTGCAGGTTCTGAGCCGCGCTGTAACGGGCTCCCGGCCCGGCCCGAGGTCGCCAGCAGGCCGTCGCCATGGAGACCGCTGGTGCTGCTGGTCCCGCTGCGCCTGGGGCTCACGGACATCAATGCGGCCTACGCGGAGACCCTGAAGGTGGGTCTGTGCTGGCCGGTGCCCTCCCGCCTGTCCTCCCTGCCCACCGGGGGCCTGAGGCCCCGCGTCCTCCCGGAAGCTCCAGCTGTCGCCGTCTTGCCCGGCCCAGCCCTCTGACCGCCCTGCGGGCCCCCGGCCCCCGCCAGCTCGCTCGTCCCTGCTGCCACCTCCCGCGGCCCTTGCCCCTCTTGCTGTCGTGGAGCTGCTGGCCTCCCGTCTACATCTCCGCCCCCCCGCCCCCGCGGCGCGCCGGCCACGCCCGGCGCCTGTCCGCCCGGGCGTGCGTGCAGGCTGGGCCGGCCCTGCCTGCGCCTCCCCAGCCTCCCCTTGGCCCTCCCGGCTGTCCGGGGCTTTCCTGAGGACCTGCAGCCTCGGCGTCCGGAGCCCGCACCCCGCGGGTCTGGTCTTCGTGTGCGGTCGCCGGCGCCTGGCGCTGCGGGGGAGCGGGAAGCCCCTCGCTCAGCGCCCGGCCTGTCTCCCGGCCCGCAGCGCTGCTTCACGATGCCCCAGTCCCTGGGCGTGATCGGAGGGAAGCCCAACAGCGCCCGCTATTTCATCGGCTACGTGGGTGAGTGGGCTCCGCAGTGACGTCAGAGGAAGGGCGTGGCCGCTCGGGCAGGCCCCACCCCCGACAGGCAGCGTGCCCCCACCTGGCCGGCGCGACGTGTGCCCTTTTCCCGTCCAGCCGCGCGGCGTTGGTGGCTGTGGTGAGGCAGCTCTGTCCGCCTCCCGCTGACCTGCCTGCTGCCCGCCCAGGTGAGGAGCTCATCTACCTGGACCCTCACACCACGCAGCCGGCCCTGCAGGCCGCTGAGCACTGCCCGATCCCGGATGAGAGCTTCCACTGCCAGCACTCGCCCAGCAGGATGAGCATCGCAGAGCTCGACCCGTCCATCGCTGTGGTGCGTCCCCCGCCTGGTCCCGCTGTCGCCAGCTGCGTGCGCTTGTGCCCAGGTGTCCTGAGGCATTTGTGCCGAGTCCTGCTGCTGCTTTAGGATGAGAAGGAAAGCATCCCCATTTCTGTAATCTCAGCGTTTTGGAATAAGTTTTATGCTCACGTGGCTTAGAACTCAAAAGAGCACAAAGGGCTGGCAGCCTCAGGTGTGGCCCAGGCAGGCATGTGTGCGCAAGTGTCCCGTGTCGCTGCCACGGCCCCGCTCTCCTCGCTGCCCTGCAGCACCCCTGCGGGGCTTCTTGGTCTGTCTTCACTCTTTAGAGTAGCCCAGTCTGCATGGCAGTCCCTAGGAATGAACCTCCTCGCTTGCTCTCTTCTGATTACACGGCTGGAATTGTTGGTTGTTCTCAAAATAGGTTTGAAGGAGGCCAAAAACACCTATATGAATCATAGCACCCCTAGGGGAGTGATTAACTGAGTTGTGGACACGATGAGGCACTCGGTCCTGAGAAGGGACGGCCCCAGACGCACTGCCCATGGGTCTCGGTCGCGCCCTGAGGTTGGTGGCGGCGGGCTGGCGCGTGGGGGCTCTGCTGTCACAGGAGCCCCCCCCCACCGCCACCCCGCCGTGAGCTCGTGAACATCAGGTCAGGTGGGAGCGTGCATCCCGGCTCTCGTGGCTGTGGAGGACAGCAGCTCCGGGAAAACAGGCCTCCGTCTTCCGGCCACATCCCGCGTGTTCTCACACCAGGGCCCTGAGAAGAGCCCTGGGTGCTTCTCTGTGGTTCCCCGGCTTCTCCACGTGGCGGGTTGAGCATTCCCAGTAGCTCATCCCAACCCTGGAGCCCTGCAGACGGTAGCTCCAGGGGGACGGGGTCCGCTTATCCTGTTGTGCCGCATGCTGTGGGCCACTAAGGCCTGCGGCCCAGCCCCAGGAGCACGGGGAGGGGCGAGCTCTCTGCTTTGCCCTGACTTGTCATTGTGACCAGCTCACTCCCCAGTCAGTCCAAGCAGAGGGTGAGGGTGGAGCCATGGATGAAGCCCGTAGAGGGGCGTAGGGGATGGAGAGGCGAAGGGGGCCGGGTGTGCGGTGGCCACCACGTCCAGGACACACAGGGGGGCCGGCAGGTTGGACGTGTGTGCCACTCTTCGCTTACTGCTGGCTTTGGTTTCAGGGGTTTTTCTGTGGGACCGAGGACGACTTTAACGACTGGTGCCAGCAAGTGAAAAAGGTTGGTGGGGCCCCGCCCCTGTGCGGGTCTGGGGGTCCTTCCTCCCCTGCTCCGCTGGTGCTCGGCCACACGGCGTCTTGCGCGCCTTGCCTGGTCCTTGGACGCCAGGTGCGTCCTTCCTGTGATCAGCGCGCGGGGCCAGACTGCTGGAGCCTCACTGGGATTTCCAGTCCCGAGTCTGGGTGGTGAGGGGTGGCGGGCTTCCTGCCTGCGCATGGCGCCTCGCTCTGCCCACGGGGCCCCTGACGCACGTGTCCTGCTGACAGCTGTCCCTCCTTGGAGGCGCGCTGCCAATGTTTGAGCTGGTGGAGCGGCAGCCTTCGCACCTGGCCTGTCCTGACGTCCTGAACTTGTCCTTAGGTGAGTCCGGATGCCCCAGGGCCCCGTCTCAGGTGGGGACGGGGGCGCCCCCCGTCTTGAGGCTGGGGGTGCTCCCTGCGTGATGCTTCTGCCCTGCCCTCCGCCTCCCCAGGTCCCGTCCCAGTTGCCTTTGACCTTTCACGCTGTGCGGCCCCTCGGCAGCCCCTCGTGAGTGGGACCAGGGACGCTGCTTGGTGCCGCCCTTCTCTCACCCGCGTGGGGCAGCACACCCGCAGCCCGCCCGGGCCCTCCCGTGCTCCTCCCGTGGCCCCTGGTCCTGAGAGCTGGACCAGGCCAGGCTTCCTGTGCTGATGTGGCATAGGTGGCTCCGTCTCCACTGCCCGGTGGCTCTGGGCTTGGGGGTGCCTCCCTCAGAGTGCATCGAGTACGTGGCACGTGGGGAAAGGGGACCCGCCAGGGGGCCCTGAGCACATAGGGACTGCCCTGGGGAGGACCGCAGCCCACGCCTCACGGGAACCGCGGGGGTTGGGGTGCTAGTGCCAGACTCAGGACAGATGCCCCACCACACCCGGCTGGTGCAAGGGGCCGGCACCCCTCCTGGGATGGGACCCTTGCCCTCCTGGCCCCCGTTGCTTCCCTCTGGGCTCTGGTGAGGGGCACGTCTGCCCCCAGCCGCACATGCCCTCACCCGCCCAGGCCCTTGTCCCCGCGCTCACAAGGCAAGAACCCCTCTCCCACCTGCTCGGACCCCCCGCCCAGGAGGAGGGCGCCTCAGCCGGGCAGTCCAGGCACCCTCCGACCTCCCTCCGCGTCCTGGCCGCCCCGGCCGGTCCGGCGCTGGGCAGGACCGCTCCTTCGTGGGGCGGGTGTGCTCACACGGGCCCTTGCTCCTCGGCCCGCACCCCAGGCTGAGCCACGCCTGGCACCTGGTGAGGTATTGTCGTGTTCCTTCTAGATTCTTCTGACGTAGAGCGACTGGAAAGATTCTTTGACTCAGAAGATGAAGACTTTGAAATCTTGTCCCTTTGAGGATCCTGCAGTTGGGGGACGGTCTCACTGGCCCCACAGGGGCGCTCGGCCGCCGCATCTCATCCCGCCCGCCGCCGCCTGCCCGCCGCCCATACAGAGGCCCGCGCCGCTGGAGACCCAAGCGCCAGGCACCCACGAGGGGCTCTCCTGCCACACTGCCAGCCCTGCCCGGCCCCGCTTCCTCCTGGGCTCCAGGCCCGGGTTCACTTTGGAATTAAAGTCCTGTTTGAAGTTTCCTGACGGACATGGCTTCTGTTGGGCGTGTCCTGAGCCAGGCTCTGAAGACGCGGCCTCCAGGGCCGTCGCGGCGGGAGAAGGGGCAGAGGAGCCGCGGCCGGGCCGCCTCGCGCTGGGAGGAGAGGAGCAAGGGGTGGGGGCGTGAGGCCCAAAGCCGCCGCCGTGCAGGCGGCACCGGGACAGACACGCCGCCAGAGCCGCAGGTGAGGCCGCGGGGCCCCCGAGCTGCTGCTTGCCTGGCGCTCCAGCATCCCCGGGGCCTTCCTGCGCCTCCCGGTCAGCGAGGCTTCAGATGGTTTGGGGCCGGAGGGTCAACCTCAGCTCTGTGCCTCTGCCCCTCGCGCCTGCTGGAGACCTTCTGGACGGACGCCAGCACCCGCCTTCATTCAACCTGTGTTCTGGGCCCCGGGCACCGCCCCACGCAGTGGCTTTCGTCCCACCAGGGAGCGCAGGCGGGGGTTTGGGAGCCCAGGAGGTGGCAGCCTTCTCCCCCCGGGGGCCTTCCTTGCGGAGCCCCGCCCCCCGCCGGCCCAGTGAGGGAGCAGAGGGCATCCCGGCCCCCCAGGTGTTGCCGACGTGAGTGCTTCCCTCCGTCTCCCATGCTCTCTCCCCCTCATCCCCCGCCCCCGCCCCGTCATCCCTCAGGTCGAGTTGGGTGGGAAGGTTTCCACTCCTTCCGCTGCGCCGCTGCTGGCGGGGCCGGGGGTCTTGCTGCGGCTCCTGCTGGCGGCACGGACGGCGGAGGTGGGGGCCACCCTGAGCAGCGGGGGCTCTGTCTCGCGTGCGTCGGGAAAGGATTACTGAGGAGCGCTCACTCTTAGCCGTACAGTGCGCGATTCTTAATGGCAAATAATAACAGTTTCAATAGAAAACAAGGTTCGTCTGTGTCTTTTCTCGGAGATGTTTTCGGAGCTGTAGTTGGACGTGGTAAGAACGGGAACAAGTGTTTTCTAAGCTCACGAGGGGTCTGAGGAAGGGCTTTGGTGGATGGACGCGCTGAGCTGGTTTGTTGCCAGGCCTGAGCGAGCGGCGCCCCCCCCCCCCC